CCCAGAGAAGCTGTGGCTGCCCCATCCCTGGCAGTGTTCAAGGCCAGGTTGGACACAGGGGCTTGGAGCAACCTGCTCTAGTGTGAGGCGTCCCTGGCCATGGCGGGGGGATTAGAACTGTGTGGTCTTAAGGTCCTTTCCAATTCAAACCATTTTATGATTCTGTGTTAATGAGAGACCTCTCCTTCAGCAGCTCTTCCTGTCCTGTGTATGACTTGCATGACAGTGACTTGTTCCTGTGACAGAGCAGATCACTTGCTGCTTCTGGAGGGAGTTATCCCAGGCTCGTGTTGTTTGGAGGTTGGCTCTGGCCAGCCAGTGTCTTTGTCTGCATTTAGATCTTTATACATTGTAGACAAATAACACTTTCCTATGAAACCATGTCTAAAGGGAGAAACATTAGAGCTATTAAAACCAGCCTTTTCTTGAAGTCAAGTGTTTGATAGCTTTTGGTGGAGGAATAATGGATTACATTACATGAAAAGAATGTGGATCTTGTTACTTGCCAATAGATGATGAATTTATTGACTTCAGTTTGGGGTTGGAAAATGAAATTACATACGCTTACAGTGAAATTTGACATCTAAACACTACCTCTGAAGGCATCCTGGCTTGCTTAGATCATTTTCTGACTTGTGAGTAATATTAAATGCACTAAAATATTTAACACGTGTAAAAATCTTTAAAGTATGTCTCTAATTCCTAAAGCAATATTGATGGGAAGTAATTTGCTCAGACAACGAGTCTTGTTTTAGGTTTTGTTTTAGGTCTTTTCCTCTCTGAGTGTATCTTATACCTAAAGCTTTGGTAATAACAGGGAAAGGGAATGGTTTAATTCATTTTAGCTTGGTGGATAGCTGAAAAAGGAGAACAAATACTTAAATTGTCAAGAATCTCTGCAGCTCAGACAAGCATTTTCCCTTTGCAGAAGCAGTTAACACTGAGGCCACAGAGACTTTTTTCCTCTCTTTTGTTTTTCTTTAGCTGTTTTATTTGTTGTTTTTATTATACTGTTCTCACAAAAACAAATTGGTAAAGGAACATGTCATGAAATACTCTGTGCTGGGTGGGTGGGTAATAAAATGAGCACTGCTGCTGCCTCCTCAGGAGTTGAGTTAGACCTTGCATGCTTCCAGAGGCGAAAGAAGTGTTCCTAAGTGCTGTTCATTGATGTGCAATGATGCCTTTTAATTGTGTTGTGTTGGTGTCTGTCTTTTGGTGGAGCTTCAGTGGCTCGGGGTATGTTGGCTCCGTTGGAAATCTGTAAGGAAGCATTGTTGAGGTGTGCAGGAATGAGTATTTGAAGAGTTAGGTTCTGGACATGCAGCCAGGATGTAACTGAACTGTAGGAGAACAAGCTTCAGAAGAGAGCTAGTTGGTGGGATCCCACAGGAGGCAGCTCTGAAGGATATGCTCAGGAAAGCTGTGAGGTCCCAGTGCAACAACAGTCTGGTCTGGTTAATTGGGGAAAATCAGTACGTAAAGTGAGAGGCTGGTCTGGTTAATCGGGGAGCTCGTGATAGAGCCTCAGTGTAAAAATGAGGGTAGCAGGAGGTGGAAGCAGAGAGGGACCACAAAGTGGATGTATTTGTGGATGAGAGGATGGCAGTAAGTGCCATCTATCTCCACTTCAGCAATGTGTTCAACACTCTCTCTCCAGATACTCTTGTATCCAGGTTAGAATGTTCTAATGTGGACATCTGGATGACAAATTGGGTTCAAAACCACTGGCTGGATGGTGAGGGTCAGTGGGTTGTGACATATGTGTCACACTCTGCATGGAGGCTGGTGTCATGTGGGGTTCTACAGGAGTTTGTTTTGTTTACCAGCTCTATCAGTGACTTGGAGGAGGTGGAGCACATGTTCTTCAGTCCAAATGACCATAAATTGCAGAGATGCAGCCAATATGCTCAAGGCCAGGGCTGATCTCTGAAGGGCTGGATGGAGGAATGAGCCAGCAGGAACCTCATGAAATTCATCAAGGTCCATTCAAAGCCAGGTGGGACACAGGGGCTTGAAGCAACCTGCTCTAGTGGAAGGTGTCCCTGCCTGTGGCAGTGGGGTTGGAACTGGGTGATCTTAAGATCCTTTGTAGCCCAAACCATTCTGTGATTCTATGGTGTGACACACAGAGGAAGGGTTATTACTGCATACATGATGCTGCTGGGCTCACTTCTGCTCTCCTGTGGCTTGCTATTGCCACTTAGTTGTCACTGAGTTACTTGGAGTTAACTTCAATTTTCAGTGATGTATCTTGATATTCTTTGGGTTAAAGGTTCACTATTGATTGAAGTATTTTATTATCAAAAGGTGAAACATCTTGTTACTCACAGACTGCTGAAGATGCCAAACTTTTAGTGCTGTCACTGTAACAGCAAATCTTTAGTTGAGCCTGACATTCGTGTCACCAGCTTGCAGGAGTATAGGGAAGATGGAATTATACATGGGAGATAAAGCAAGTATTGCATAAATTAAAGTTCTCACTGTCTGTGTGACTTGCAAGTGTTCTGTGAGTGCTTTCAGGTGGCTGGGTCTGTCATTGTAAAATGGTGCTGAAATTAGAAGGAAAACTAGCAAATAACACAATTTATGCATCTGTGTTTTCTTTTAGTTCATAGAAATGTGGAGTTTGGGGCCATGGAAGAGCTTGGCTCACTCTGTGTGCTTGAAGTATAGTAGTAACCTCAT